TGATCTCATGTAATGCTTCCCTGATCTTCTGAATCTTGTTTATTTAAAGAGCAATTCCCTTAAACACAGCCCTTTCTTGAGGCTCTGACATCAGACACAGGTGCATCCATCAATGATTTGACACTGGGAGAGTCTCTGTTCCTGCATAAAGCTCATTCGATGTTATGGTATTATTTAAAGTAATCTTACATTTCAGAACCATCATAACCTAAATAGATATTAAAATGCTAGCTGGCAAAACTAAATGCCACCTACCATAATCTTTCTATGGGAAAACATGTTCCAAGTCCAAAAAATAATTTGTAAGTATAACCCATTTATTAATTAAGAAATGGTCTATAAATCACCTGAGGCTACTTTGAACTGCCGTTAACACCCAGCACTGTGATGCTAACCACAAAGTACTCCTCCTCTTGAATATGTTTTCAGAGCAGAGAACAACCATGGCTAAAACAATTTTCAAGAATATCTGCCAAGACTAAAAACTTACAGAGCCAGTAGTGTCCCAGAAATCTAGAAGTATATTCTTCTAGCAGCTTTCAGAGTCTTTGTTACAATGGAAAGAGGATAATAAAATAAACATAAAATAAGTAGAACCCATAATGCAATTCAGATCAACTACATTAGAAGAGAAAGTATAATATAACTTTTACGTAGTATAAACTATAGTAAGAAAAATAACTTTGGAAGCAAAATGACATTCTCGATGGGAAAAAAAAGAATAATTTCAAAATGTGAAAACAACCCAGTATTGTCAGAAAAAGTGGTAAATAATTAGCCCCACTTTAAAAAGAGGCAATAATTACTAAATGTTCTTAGAGAAAGTAATGTATATTTTTAAATCCCTCAGTTAAAGAACACAGAACATATGAGAAAATTCTATTGGTTTTTGACTAATATAAAAGAAAAATGGGAATAAATAGTTTTAAAAAAGAAAATCAACCAGAGTTTACTACATTTGGTGGTTATTCTAAAAAGTATTTGGTTGATAATGCTATGCTTTCTAATGGGGCTCTGTGAATTAACTATCAAACTTCTCAATTAACTACCATAATAGAGTACTTTGAAATGAAAGCTAATAATACACAAAGTGAGACAACAGAATGTTTCTTCTATTACTGATCTTGGCTGTTAGCCCTAAGCACTTCACATTTTTTTTCTAATTACACAATAACATCTCTTTCAGATTTTAAAATAAATACAACAAAAAAACACATGTGCACACATATGACATATAAGAAAAAAAAACAGTGAACTCAAGCAACATAGGAAATAAATGGCACTGTTGTCTCTATTTTGAAACCCCAGTAACAATACTATTGAAATGGAACAAGGTCAACCATAAAAAGTAAACAATTTTGAGAAATGCAGTAAAAAAACATATATTAGGGCATTATCTTAACTAACCCAAATTCTAAATTCAGAGTTGCAAAAGACTATTCACACACATGGCTATTCTGAATTAAGAACCAGTGTTCACAACATCGTTATTATTCACTATAAATAATTACAGTAATCATAAATATTATTGACAATAAACTAATCACTATAATCACATTCTAAAACACTGACATTCAAAGACTGAACTATAAATATCCAAACCACGGTGGTATGAAAGACTTGGGGATCCAGGAATCTTGATAAAACTACAGAAGAATCCATTGCAGGACAACTAAGAAATGAGGCTGGGGCCAAGTTACAAAATGTCTAGAATCTTAGATTTCTATCCTATCACGTCTTGCTTTTTAAATGAGGTCTACTTCATGGAAATATAAGAGTATGAAAAATCATATATTAAATAGGGTAGATTCTCTATAAGTGCCAAGTTTATGAAAAAAAATTTAGAGGAGTTAAACAAGTCACTGTTTTTACATTAAATCCACTTTTACTAGAACATAAAATTAATATAAATTTTTCAGACAGAAAATGATGCTTCAAAGCAATTTCACTCTTGCAGAAAGCTAATTCAGGTTCATTACTCTTCACAGTTTGAAGAAAAGAGACAAATTAAACGATTTGAGGAAAAGTTTGAGAGGCAGTGATAGGAATCTGGAGTCAAGGTTTTTTTGTTTGTTTTTTAAAGTAGGAGAGTGATATCAAATTTGTGCTTTGAGAAGCTCAAGGGAAGCAGTAAGCAGGATGGGCTACAACATAAAAGAACAATAACGGTAGGTGAAAAAGAGAAAATTTGTAATAGCCTGTTTAAGAAATGAAAAGGACATGAACCAGAGCTGAGGCTTATGAGAACATACAGGGCTAGGAGGATTTGAGAAGGCACAGGAGGCTGACCAGATAGTGCCTGACTGCACTATTCAATGAGACAGCTTTTGAGAACTTACAGGTATAAAGGTGTTCATTTTTCAGAGCTAGTATTTCTGTAAGGTACTTGATATACATCTTTAAAAGCTCCCACTTACTTTCGATGCACCTTCTAATCACGGGAAGTGTAAAGATGTAAGATGCTATTGTAAATTGCTATATACTAAAAATTAAAATTTGAGTAAGATTTACAAAAACTATGTTGTAATAACTGAAAAGTAGTAACTTTAAAAAACTATTACAGTAATTTCATAATGAGTAGTTTAGCCAGGTGACACCAGCTGAAAGGCACAAAATAAATTTAAAGTAAAACCTTCATTAGTAAGTTGACAGTACAATGCAGCCACTAAGGAAAAAAAGACATTAGAATTGTTAAAAGATAAAATACCAAAATCCTTGCGGAATATATTCATGAAAATATTACGATGAGAAAAAGCAGATGAAGTAAAGGTCAACTTTACTGGATCAATAAAAATAGCAATTCTCAATAAGTAATCTAAAAAAAGACTATTTTAATTGCTTTTAGAAACTAGCATACTTTGTTCTATTCCACTTATTTATGTAACACAGATCACTGAGTTATAATATAAAATACAAAAAACATTTTATTACAGAAATCATTAAACTGCTAGGACAAGTCTGAAAACTAGTCTCTAGGTCCTAACAACTTTTTTTTTTTGCTTCTAGATGAAACTCTTTAGCTCTCAAAAACATGGCATAAGAACTTAACATAAAAATTTAAGATACTTTATGGCAGTGAAAGACTCATCTAGACTTACAGATCTTATACAAAGTTTATTCCATAGTTTATGCTTGCTACCTTAGAGGGAATCTGAAGATTCTGGCTAAAAATAAATTCATAACAGAAAAAGAATATCTCAAAAATACAAATCAGTGTAATTCTCATAAAACCTCTTTGCATCACAAACACCAAGTTATTAAAACTGCTCCTATTATTAGACCCTTTGATATATATTTTTTTCATGTCTCTCAAGAAGGGAAATGTCTAAAATTTTGGATCTAAATATTTTCAGAATGCAAGGAAATGTGATAAAAATGGTTAACATTCTACAAAGGAAATCAAGGCACATCCATCTCTCTTCTCCTAGATAGTCTACATGCACAGCTGCTATTTCTTCAATTTGCTTTTTTAAATACTGTCATCTGCCTCTTCCAAGCCTCCCTCTTCCTGGGCTCCCTTGCTCTCCTCTATTTGCGTGGGCAGGGGGAAGTTGCTGCCATGAAATCCGTCCACTGCGAGTGTCCTTAAAGGTAACAACACAAAACATTACCTGCCTGATGGGAGGTGGACAATGATAAACAACTGAAAGAGGGATGAGATATACAGTACTAAGAGAGACGGTTTTACATTGATTTTAGAAACAAGATGGCCCCTCATGCATAAGGGTTATAAGGTTATATGCTCGCATTTAGTGAGTGGCTATGTGAGGTCTAATTACACAGTGATGAGGCATTAGTCTCACGTATCTTACTTAGGGTAGAACAGCCCTGCAATTATCAATACCCAGCCCACTTGAAATTTCACGCATCCCTGTCACAGGAGGAACTACATGAGTTAGCCCAAATCTACAACTACCAGGACAGTCCACCCTCCCCATCCACACAAAATATATAAATCCAAGTTACAAGTGAAATAAATCTAGACAATTAAGACATTGTCACGAATCAAAGAAATGATCTCATTTTCTTTGATTCAAACAAAAATGCATAGGTATACATATGCATAGAAAGAGGATAATATCCCATGTTAACAACGGTTACCTTTAAGTATCAAAAATATGAGTGATTTCTATTTCCTCCTTTGCGTTTCTCTGTACTTTCCTTGCTTTCCTACAATGAGCATGTAACTTTGACAATCAAGGGCGCGGGGTGACCGGGTTAGTTAAATAGATGCAGAGCTTTTAATCCTAAAGCATCAATTACTCTGGATCAAAGACACAAAGAGGCCTATCTTTAAGCTTCCTAGGAGTCACTGAGGAATAAATCCTCCAATACTTGGCATGACAGAAGACTGCTGGGAGGCTTCCCAAAGCGCCGTGATAACCTCTCTATCCTAGGGCCTTAGCAAACTGAGGGGACAGAGTTGTTCCATACAAACTTGGTCGAGCGCTTTCTGCAACAGGAAAACTCACTCCCAGCTCTCCCGTGATCCCGCCCCCTGTGGTACACCCAAGTCCCGAGGACCCTAGGCGGGACCCTCCACCCCTCTCAAGGTGCTCTCGAAGACTCGGCCCCCCAATCTCTGCTCCACAGCTCACGAGCCTCTCTTTCACTTACTTCTTTCTCTTCTCCTCCTGACCCCTTCCCCCTAAACGCACCCAAGGGACCACCGGGGAAAGGAGAGAGCGGGCGGGACTCGGAGGCAGCCGCCCTGATTCCCGTGACCTTGGACAAGTCGCCTCGCCTCTCCGATCCGAGCCTCAGTTTCCTAATCTGCCACCCTCGCAGGGTGACCGACCTCAAGCTCAGAAACCAGGAGGTGGGGGGCGCTTTGCAAAAGCGACAGGCGGTTCTCCTGACTGCACGGATCCCCTCCTTTCCCCCCAGCCCCCGACCGCTCCGAGGCGTCGGGCACCAGCCTGGACACCAGGGGCAGTTTCCCTCCCGAGCCCTGTCCCGCTGCCCCGGGACGCGTCGCCTCCCTGCCCCGTCCCCCGTACCTGGCAGCTGCAGTCCTGGGGCAGGTTTTTCACCAGGATCTTCCTACGGTTGCTCAGCTCCCGGTGCATCCGCTGCAGCCGCGCGGCGACCTCCTCCGGGTGCAGCGCGGCGGGCGCGGGGCCGCGGACGG